TCATTCCAAATAACCTTTGCCAGATCTCTGCTAGCCATTTAAGCAGAGGTCTTTGCTCATTCCACAACATAAGGAAGAGATGGAAAATCGGAGGGCAGGAGTACGTACATAAATCACTGCTCTGAATAATCACCAGCTACAGCATCTGACCATTTATCTTTCAGCCTGACCTGGCTCTGTCAAGCTAAAAATAGGAACCTTTAATAAAGGCATTTCTCAGAAAGGTGAAGAAGACAGTTCAGTTAACCCCCCTGGTGATGTATCACTCTTCATAGACACTCTCTGTGTGCTTGACAAATGGTGATGGCCAATCCAGGCTACTGGAGATCTCCTGCCTAAGTGGCAGAGCTCAGTCCAGCAGTGGCAGCACCCACAGTGTGGCTGGAGCCTTTGTTACTGCAGTGACAGCCTTCACACTGCCAGCAGTAGAGTGACAGAGAGGCAACATATTAACCATGTGTGCTCTGCAAACTGTGGTTCTGCAGGTTATGAAAGGGAACAAAAGGAGCTTGTTTAGCATAACACCCTTATAGAGCTCAGGAGGTTCTGCACTGGTAGGTGACATAGACTGAGTCTTCAGTCTTTTGATCTGTAATTCTTTTCAGTTATTTCATTTATTACTGAATTGCAATTTTGAAATGCTCCTGCAGCCTCGTGGAGGATGGTAGGAATAGCTGGTTATTCAGCTGCACACCAATATCCTGCAAACTGACCACTCCTTTTCCAGGCAAACTAAGAACATCTATATTGGAGACATTTCAGCAAACTGTGAGCTCACTTCTAGCTCCATTTTGTGAAATGGTTTGTTCTACAGCTGCTGTGTTAAAGTGAACTAGAAGGCTCAGCATTGCTCCAAAGGACATATCTTTCCTTTCCACAAATAAAATGGCTGCAGCAGACACTAATGGAGAGTCAGTGCAGAAATCTCCTCCTGGAAAGCCTGACTACATTGTTCTCTCAGAGAAGGTTTTTCTAATATACACACAGAAGGATTTCTTTTAATGAGGAAAGAAACCACGTTTAAAGAAAACCAAGGAACTGTGAATGGTCTTGTGCTCCCTAGAATTTCTTGATCTCTACTGACTTCTGTTTCTTCCCTAATATATGCTGTAAAGTTTAAAAAAACATCAAAACTTGACACAAAGAAAAATGTCACCAGCTAATCTATTAGAAAGAATTACTTTGTAAGAAATAAATCTGTGCCTCATCTACTGGAGTGTGAAGATTTACCTTCCTTTATTGGCTCTGCTTAAGCTGCAGGAAATGGAGAGAAAACATTTCATGCAATGTGATCTTTTCTATGTCAATATTATCATTTCTGTCTTGAATTTCAAATTAAATATTATCTTTCTTTAAACAAAGGCTTGGAAACCAATGTTATTTATTCTCTCTACTGTAATTATATACACAGGTTTAATTTTCCATTATAGATAAAATTAATAATAAAATTTGCAGATTCAAAAAGACAACATCTTATTAATTTCATGGATGCCAGTGCCATTGCAAATTGTGCATAAGAACCATAAACACAGCCACCATTTTCAGGTAGCAGCACAGGTCTGTGCACTGGCAGAGTGCTATCATTTTTCTGCCCTGCCCTTTAATGAGTTGATAGCTAACAGCAAAAGGAAGCATTTAAAACAATGATTTTCAGGTTGTCCACTGGGGTAATTTCTTTCCAGGGTTTTCATGGTGCTCCAGACTAATTATTGGATATAATTAGAGCAGTTGATTAGGGTAAGCTAAAGCAGAACATGTACTTTTAAAATAGTCTACGGTGCCTGGGGACAGACTTGTAGTATTTTTTTTTTTCTTCTTGAGAAAATGTGAGAAAAAAGGCTTTCAAAGAGTAGAGATCAGAAGATTCTTAAGGTTATTCTGGAGTCACGAAAATCCCCTGAGCCAGCTAATGCAGGGTAGAAGTTCAGTACTGCTGGGCAGACACCCCTGGTGAGTTTCCATACTGGCTGATGAGGTTTCCAAGCAGCTGTCCCAGCAGAGCAGCTCGCAGTCCCCCTTCCCGGCTCCATGCCCTGCAGGGATGTGTATGTCTGGGGCTGCTCTCCTGGTGTTTTTCATCTCCTGCCCACACTTAGGCTTGGGAGCAGTAAGATCCAGCACTTAAGTCGCATGTTTTCACAAAGCAAGTTTATTCTAGCAACTTTATATAGACAGTGATGCATATGGGGTATGCTTCAGGGACATACAGTGATGACCAAGGATTTAAGTTTAATAAACAAAGGGTAAATAGGAAATACTATGCACAGGGAAGAAAAGCAATGTGTCTGACTTAGAATTGCATGAAGTGACATTATTTTCTGAATTTGTTTGGTGAAAGAGGGGTGGGATTTTGTCTGTCTTTCCTTACAACAGGAAACAAAAGAGAATGAATAAAACAAATACAGAAGTTATTATTTCCTTAATATTAGGAGCACAACAAATGGGTTTTGAGGTTTTATCTATCAGCCTCCAGTGCTCAGCCAGTTTGCTGGTCACAATTATAAAACATACATATTTATCTACTACTTGAAGGGGCAAGAATGCAAGAAGGTGAATTGCAAGTATCTCTGCTTGACGTGATATCATATTTGTCCTTGTGCATCTGTCACGCTTCGATACCTGATCTGAAGGCCTCCTTGGTTGCCTGGATTTTCTTTTTGCTTGTGGTAACGGGGAGCTCAAGGACAAAATACCCTTTGACTTGTAACCTGGAGAGGGCGAAAGCCCCTCTGGCTTCTTTCTGATTTCATCTAAAAGACTGTGGATTTTTTGAACCCTTACATTGTGATCTAGGTTTGCACAGCAGTTTCCATACAGAAGAGTGATCTAAGCAAACCACGAGTCTTTTCCATGGAATACGTATGGTACTTAGAATTCAGATGGGAATGTGGGTATTGAGCCAACCCCAATTATTTGCAAATGAATCAGTGGCACGCACCCTCAGGGAGGACTGTAATAGCAAGTGCTCATTTGAAATGTCATCATTCTGTGGGGGAATTCTCAATATGTGATGTGTTAACTATTTGCATCCTAATTTCAGGCAAACAGAAATTGCAGCTCACTGAGTTTGTAAAGAAAATTCTGTCTTTGATCGATGCCATTGCAGATTTCATCTTGCTCCATTTTGAAAATCGTGCAGATGTGAAAAGGAGGCTGTTCACTAATGTTTGGCATTGTAAACAGAGCTGGCACTCCTAGTCGGTGCTTTAATTATGCATTATGTTAATCAGTGTGAAATACTGAGCCCTCTTTGGACAGCCAAAAGCCTTCTTTATATTTTATTTATTAGAGTTTGAAATTAACTTTTCACAGTCCAGCTCCAATAGATCAGTAGATATGGAAATTCAGCTCTGTCTACAGTAAGTTTCTCCACTGCTGTCTCCAGGGCTTCCTCCGGTTCCTTGCGATGCGTTTGACCTCTGTGAAGACCCCAGTGGCCAGGCATGGCAAAACACTGGACCTCAACAATCTGAGACCTCTGTTACAAATGTTGGTGCCAGTACTGCAGTCACTTGCAGTGGTCTGGTGAAAAAGCTGCATTTTTTTGTTTTGTTTACTTATGTCTTGCAGGTGCAGCCCTGTGCTGCTGGGCTCACCTAGGTCACAGCTGTGCTGTCAGTGGGCTGGTGCTGGAGATGTCTCATGCTCGTGTGCTAGCATGTTTTTCTCCTCCTGACACAGTACTTAATCAGTAGGTGGCTGGGATGCCAGGACCTTAGGAAAAACTCTGAGCAGTCAGTTGTGTACAGGCACTTTGGTGTCCTCTGAGCCTGTTTCTGCACTGAACACTTGCGTTTTGAACACAAAAGGTTTGATGTTGGACTTTCCAAAGTGTTTTTTCCCCTCTTAAAAATAAGTGTTACTTTGCACTTCATGAAAGTTTTCAGAGGATTCTGTGAAGATGGAAAAACATCACCTTCCTTTGCCTCAAAAGAGCACCTGCCAGCTTGCCAGGAGTCTGATTAATTTTCTGCAATATACTGATGACAAATCTGGGTGTTTAAGGTTCTCCCTGAAGAGCAATGATGTGCACATTCTCCACATGTCCTTGCACTGAGAAGACTTGAATTAACTTTAGGTACTGGAGATAGCACAAAATCATTATCATGAGTTAATGTGTAATTACCGCTGGTTCCAGCAGAATTACCCGTGGCACAGTTATCCTGCTGCTGTTGTGTAATTGCATTCATTATTTCACTGGTAACTGCAAATTGCCATGACTGTACCTATGTAAATATCAGAATATGTCATTATTCACAATGTAGCACCTAGAAAAATGAATGTTGAATGGCCACCAGCAGTGCTGTCCTTGCTGATACAAACATCCCACAGTAATGTTCCCAGTTTTTCAGGCCAACTTACTGCACAAGTGCTGGGGGGACATGGGAAAGGAGGGAAGGCAGGTGGGATTAAGGTTTTCTGTCCAGTTCTGCAGGTCCAAAGGGATTCATAGAATCATAGAATGGCCTGGGTTGAAAAGAACCTCAAAGACCATCTAGTTTCAACCCCCCTTCCATGGGCAGGGTCACCAACCACTAGACCAGGATTACCTGCTAATGGTTTTGGAGACACCTTCTGTAGGAACATGCTGTGCCCAGCCACTCTTCTTAGCAGTCCTTGAGTTTCTAGGCTCTGTTGGTACTGAAATACTTGTCAGCATGGGCGGTGGTGACAGCCATGTTTACCAACCCAGCGTGGGGGCACCCTGCTTATTATTTTAGAATTAGCTCAGGAATGCCTGTGTCATTCATTAGGATGGCTAACATAGCCTGTCAGCTCCTGAAGGGACTGGAAATTCCATACTTCATTGGATTTTGCAGGGTACCTGCATTTTTTTTTTTTAAATTACACTGTTCCACTTGATTTGCAGGAAACAGGACCATGTAGGTATGGAATTGGGGAGCAGCAGAGAGGCAGTGCCTTCCTGTTTAAATTTAAACTGAGCCATGTCAGAACGTTGCTAATTAAAAATAAAATGAATGACTTTGCTCTCTCTATAGGTGACCTGTCTCCACGATTTCTTTGGGGATGATGATGTGTTTATTGCCTGTGGTCCCGAAAAATTCCGCTATGCACAGGATGACTTTTCTCTGGATGAAAGTGGTAATGTTGAACACACACTGTTCTTCAATCTGTTCTTACTTGACTTCCATTCATTTGCTTGTAATAGGTAAAAGTGCTGCATGCTTTTGTTCTTTTCTGTATGACCCAGTACATGGAATTCATCATCCTTTGGTGACACAAAGTACAGTCAGTGGATATTGTAATTGGGCAAACACTGGCTGGGATAGCCCATTTCAAAACAGATGGACTCCTCCACTCTACCATCATTTTTACATTAATGACAAAATCTGGTACTATATATCCTTTAAACTTGTTCAAGTTCCAATCAGATTGAAACAGTTTTGAGAACTAAGCAGTAGAAGACTAATATCTATTTTTCTACTTGGAACACAAATACACACAGTTTGTCACTCTTGTCCTTATGTACACATGTCAATATTAAAAATGGGAATGAGCACAGTTAAAAAGAAAAATCATTCCCTTTATTACTTTCTTCTGTTGATTAAAAAATGAGGGCAGTGTTTGTTAGGTGGGATTTGGACAGCACCATCATTTGTCCATGTTATGATAGCAACCAGAGATCTGTAACAATGTGAGTCTCTTTGATCAATTAAACCACAGAATCTCTGATTTCACAGAATATGCAGAGCTTGCTTGTAGGAGTTACCCTACCTGGCAACTGTATATACCAACAGCACAGGCTGTTTGCTGGTGCCAGCAAGTGCAGCAAGAGTGTATGAACGCAGTTGTGACCATTCAAACTGGAAGAAAATATGGCTTCCAAACATTACTTACAAAAGCTTTTAGGTATACTGTGTAAGGAACAGAAACTACATGCTATCTTGTATGCTACAGACTGGCTCAGTGTTGAAGACTTAACAGAACTTTTGCTGTCTACCAAGAGGGAAAGCAGCCTCTAAACTTCAAACACTGCATTTTTATGACTCCTTAGCAAGGCTGGATTTGTTTGATGCTGGTACTTCAGACCTGTGTACTCCAGATGAACCCATTTGGTGGTCTTGGGTATTTCAAAGTTTCCAGGAGTCAGCTGAAACTTTGCAGACAGAGAATAAAGCCTGCATCAAGCTGGTGAAGCAATCTGTAATGTGAGCTTCATATTTTATTTTAACAGTCAGGAGTTGAGTCAGCTCCGCAGGGATTTCCACATATAAAACAAATTGCACGTAATCCTAGCAGAACAACTTCATGGGAAGCTCAGCTCTCTGCCTACACTCCTGGTTTCTACGACTTTTTCCAGCTTGGATTTCTCTAACAAAAATAAGGCAAGCTTGCTGTTGGGCAGGTACTGAGCATCTGCAGCTCTCTGTTGTATTTTCAGGAGAGTGGGGATACCCTGCCCTTCCCAAGAAACGGATGGGGAGCTATTAGCCAGCAGCATTTTCCCATTATCCACCCATCATCCTTCCTTGTTATGGATCAGATGCTGCAAAGAGAACCTGAAATCTTGTGGATGAATGTCACTTATTAAAATCTCTTCTGTCATGGATACTTTCTCTTTCCTGTTGGGATGACACATACTTGAATTGCTGGCTATTATGTTCGCTCTGGCAGGAGATCAGGAAACAAAAAGAGAAATACCATGAGAGGATTATGTCATCTTTTTCTTTCTGACTGCCCACCACAGCTTCTGCCCTATAATCCCTGTTGCTAAGCACCTTCCAGATGTTGCTGCTCTGTCTCATTCATACTGGCTGGCTTCAGCATCAGCACACTGAAATGTCACACCCCACACTGCTAAGAGGCCTGCTGATACTGATGTCAGCACAATCAGATGTCCACATTTATTACCTTGTTGCAAGGCATACAAATGCTCAGTAATTGCCTTTGGTGTGCTGACACTTGCTGATGGCTGAGCTGGAGAAATTCATCAGAGTCAGCATTTCTGTGCTGGTAAATGCAAAGCTGAGTTTCTCTGCAAGGAATTATCCTCTGGGGAGAAAATGAATTTGAATAAGCTTTTTTAAAAAGGCAACAAAATATTTTCACTTTTTTAGGTTTATATTTTAGGGAGCAATTTGGATGACTAAATACTGATGTAACACACTTTTAAATTCCCTTGGTTTCTGAGAAACCCGTATCTGGTGCACAGACATTGCTCATCCAAGTGCTACACTCTTTTGTTAAGCAGCTACACGTAAAAGCCTTGAAAAACATTACTTTTGTAGTGCCTGAAGATGATTGCCCCCCATGTTTTGGTTAGGCTGATTAACACCAGAAGCAGTTATTTGCACATTCTTCCAAGTGGCTATCATAGAATTCTATGATTCTATGATTCTATCTCAGACTGCCTCATCAAACATTATTATTTAGAACCAAGGACATAAAAAAATGGGGAAGTTTCTGTTCTGAAGCCCTGCAAGGCCTTCTCCTTCTCTTCTACCTGGCATCATCTGTGAGAAGTCAAATACCTTAGGAAAACAAAACAAAACAATTTATATCCCTAATTTACAGTTTCCAGAATCTATTTATTAGGAGAGAGAATAAACTTAATATGGGTTTAATTATTATCATGCATCATCCCTGGAGCACAGGGAATCATCCCATCTGGAAGAAGAAGAGACTGACTCTTGACTGCCTGAGAATGAGGAAAGCCTGGGGAAAAGGTTTAGGGCAATTGCATTTTCATATATATTCTGATATAGAAATAAAATAACACATACATTTCGGTCAGACTACTTGTTTTCAATTGACCAATTATGTATCCATCCACTGTATTCTGCTTCAGTTAATTCCCATTAAAAAAGCCAGGTCAGGGGGATTCTCAGTGCAGCCCATGCATGCTGAGCTGAGCTTTTCTATAAAAATCTTCCTGTAAGTGGAACATCTAATTCACATCTTTAAAAAATACTTGTTTTTCATGTGAGGACAATTGCTTGTAGGAGATAAGACCAGTTAGAATTTGACAGAGAGAGAATTCCTTTTTTATTGCCAATTCTTAACTGAGGTAAGTTAACTTTGGGAAGACAAACTGCTTTCAGTTCTCAATGTCAATAAACCTTGTTGTGAAGACCTGAGATGCCTGAAATCCTGGAACACATACAGATTTGTTAGCGTTTCAGTTCCCTTCTGCACAACACTGTAGATCATGTTTACATTTTCCCCTCCTCCTGGCTCGTATATTTTTTTAACAAAACACAGTTGGGGCTCTCATCTGCTCATGCATTTAAACACATGAATCTATTGCATTTGTTTATGTAAACCTTTCTGGAAAAGATGACCAACCAGCACAAAGGGTGTATTTTGTAAAACCATTTTGTTGTCTTTGCTTTCCACATCTGTAAAGGGCAGCTTGATGAAAACACAGAAAGAGCGTGAAAGGGCTGAAGGCCTCCTAGGTCACAGGTCCCATGCACCACTTACCTTAAAGTCATGCTACCAGCTGTTTGCTGGCTTTATGCGCCTGCATGAACAGTACTCATCGCTCCTTCTGCTAGGTCTTCATGGGAGAGTTTTGCAGATTAACTGGTTTTTGACCTGTTCTTTCCTCACTAAATGCTGACTATTTTCATTTTGGTCTCTAGTTGGTGGGCATCAAGGCAAGGGAAAGGGCAGAAAACCCTTGGTAGGGCACATATACAGAAATGTTCCCTGCCAGGGAGAGAATCCTGATTTTAATGTACAGTCTCAGTGCCTCCTCTAGCGGCTCTTTTTTTTAACCCGTCCCTAAAATGTCTCATTTTTACCTTGGAAATGCCAGTTTTCCCCTTAGTGTTGAAGTTTTCTTACAGCTTTTTGGAAATAGAAAGCCACTAAGCCACCCATGAGTTTCACAGCTAGCGCCCATAGGTTGTGAGAGTAGGTAGGGACATAACCATGGTTACTGTCTCTTTCCTTAGAGTGCCGGGTGATGAAAGGGAGCCCTGCAGCTGCCACGGGCAGTAAGTCATCTCCCACCCCTCAGAAGAGCTCAGCAAAGAGTCCAGCCCCAATGCGCCGCAGCAAGTCTCCAGCTGATTCAGGTAACCATCAAGACGGTGAGTGATGGTTTTCTGGATCTTAACTCTGCTCGAGATGAAAACACGTAGCGTGTGACTTGGAGAACACTGTCCTTGGATGTTTGCATTTGAGACTTTGGCATATTTTAAACACAAGATGATATTGTTAGCATACAGGATCACTAAATAAATATCGGAGAGGAAATCTCTGGTTAGTTAAGTGCAGTCAGGCTTTGGGATCATACCACCCACAGTCTCACAGCCTCTTGCCCTAAAAAAAATTTAAAAGGAAACATTTCCATTTTACAGACAGGAAATTGAGGTTTGCAGTGCTCTTGTATGTTCCCTGTAGCTACAGACTGTTTTGGAATAGCCTCTTGTGTAATGCAAATGTTAATTACTGCACAAGTCAGAAATGTCCTCTCTTAATCACCATTTAAAGAAGGCAAGTGACCTTGCAGTTGAGGATCTGGTGATGGGCTTATTGATGTGATAGAGACATTCACTCAGTAATAGAAGAGAAAGAAAATGGTAATCCTCATTCACTGCAGCAGCTTTCACCATTTGAAATGCTGTTCTGCCTCTTCAGTATCAACTGGATTGGCAATATAGCACACATGGAGAGCTGCAGAGCCTGTAGATTAGAGACCTGGCTGGTAATCGGTAGTTTTTAGACTGGTACAACGAAGAGAGTGGGACTCTAGGTGTGTCATCTGCTCCACTGTCCTTTCCAAAAGAGAGCCAGGTATGGGTGTTCATTAAAAAGGCAAAATCACTAACTATATAAGCATTTCAAGATTCTACACAGCTTTATAAATTGAATTCAAAATTCAAGTGACCCATAGTATTATCACAGGCTAAAAATAAAGCAGAAATTGTTTTCACCTTCATGGACACCCATTGCATATTGCACGTGGACACCACAAAACAGCTGACCCTTCAGTAGACATTGGATTACTGGATGTAAAATTCTCCTAATGGTATTCAGTAAGATTTTCCCCATTAGGCAGTTAATTTGTTTAGGGTCTCTTGATGTTCTTTAGCTACTTAAAAAGATGATGTGAAAAAAATGTGAAATTTGCTGGCACATGTCAAGACTGCTTTAAATAATTCCTTCTCTGTAAGGTGATTCTGCACTCATACTGTTTTCCATCAACATTCCAGTATTTGCTTAAACTTGAGTTTACTGTGATCTAAGAAGTTTATGGAGAAGAAGTTGCGTGGTAGAGTCGTGTGGGTGCATTTGAGATGTAACTGAAAATCTGTTGTAGAATTAAAAAAAATAATCTCCTATTCAGCAGTCTGGGAGTCAGGCCATGCATGAGTTGAGACAGCATTTAAACTCCATAAGCATCAGGTACTAATTGCTACCAGAACAAGACTTTATTACATGAGTGTATAGTCTTATGTGAAATGACAACTATTGTGTTCCTGATTTTGACTCACAGAACAAAATGGTGAGTCATCTGATGAAGCCTAATGAACAGTTAGTTTGAGCCTTTCAAAGGGAGATTGATTAAAATAACCAGAAATGTCAAACAATAGCCAGCTCCTGGAATTAAGGCCTGTAATGAAGGACAAATCAGGTTTCTTTAATTCATCTAGACAAAGGTCTTTCGTACTTTTCTGTGATTTCAGTACAGGAAAAATGGCAGCCTGTCTTTTTTAAAGAGAATAGAAAATGACGGAACTCTTTCTGTGCTGGAAGGTTAATAAAAGATAATTGTTTTCTTGGGACAGAGACAAAAAAAGACTACTACCATCTTATGTTGTTTCCTCTTGAATTTGCAATAAAGAAAGCAGGTGTGCACGTTACCTGAGAGACAATATTTATGTAAACAAACACCAGGCTTAGCTGAGTTTTAAAGTTATCACATTGAAAAAGGCAGGGAATACTGAATGAAGCTTGATTAATAAAAGATTATCTGATGCTTATTTTTTCCTTCAAAATTCTCACCTATTTCTTTTGTAAAAGGATTTTGAAGCAGTTTTATTTCAAGTATGTTCAGTATATTTCCCATGTGTTTGATCTCCCATGCATTTGTACTTTTGTCTTTGCTGTCTTTTACTGTGTTGTGATTGTCATACCAGACCTCGGAGTTTCTTAGTTTTTAATAATTAGATTTTGTTATTTTCAGTTGTTATCTCTGTATTTTTTATTCTTTGAGAAATCTATTGGTAATAATGTAAATACAGATTCTGAGGTGAATCTCTAAGTTGCTTGAGTGGAAGAAGGCTGAACCTTCCTTATTACAAATTACATTATAGTGGCAGAAGAAGGTGTTATTTTATTTATTTTCTCATTCTACAAAGGCTGCTCTGAAAGTAATGCCTCCTATTTTATAATGTTGGCCCACAGTGGTGGATGGTGGTGGTACAGCAGTAAAGGTTGAGCCTTCCCACCAGTATCCCATTAGAGGTTGTTTCATGTGACTGATGGCAGCCGTGGGGCAGTCTGACAGCATGGTGTGAGATGCTCAAGTGCAGATGAAGCAAAGGGGTGGAACTGAATTCCACTGTGTGAAAAAAATGGCACCTACTGCCATTCCTTGATGCTTGCTGAATGTTTCTGGAGACCAAACAGTGGATGTGAGCACAGTGAGCTGATGGGTGGTGAAGCACTGAGCTGTGGGTGCTAGTGCAGAGTTTTACAAGTGCGGCATGCAGGCTCTTGTTAATGGCTGGTAAAGTGTGTAATTAATGGTGGTAACTGTGTCTCCTCTCCTCTCCTCTCCTCTCCTCAAAACACAAGCAAAACATTTGTTAAAAATAATCAAGACAAAAAGCTATGAACAGAAGTGGAGCTACACAGAGTACCAGCTCCAGCTGCAGTGATGCAAGTTCACTGGCTGAGTTGCTACCTTCTGCTGGAGGCGATTTGCCTTCTGCCTAGACGTGTCAGTGCCTTGCTGTGAAAAGCTCAATTCCCTCTAGGCAGCCGGAGGCCTTCAGCTCCAGTGGTACTCAAAAAATGAGATAGCCAATCCACAGAAACGTCTTGAACACTGTTTTCTTGGTATAGTACTTTATTTACTATATGGTCATTTAAATAAATGAATGAAGATGGAATGACTGTTATGAGAAGATACAGCTCTGTGTTCATGCTGCTGTGTCCTGCAGCAGCTCACAGATTTATGTGCTGGTGTAATTGAGAAGACCCTAATTCTAAGGTATAGTGGATATGAGGCAGCTCCCTAGTACTGCGTGGGAAGGTGGATGAAGGTACTGTATATGGTCCATGTAATTTAAATGGAATTTGGGAAGATCAGTACTAAGGATTTCCTAGTAACAGGCCACTCCAATAAGAAGTCAAACCAAACAAAAGACAAAGCTAAATGTTGGGTGAGGAATACAGTGGTAAAAATGATCATGCTATTTGCCCTTACTTCTTTGTTCTAAAAACCCAAATATCTTACAGTAGCTCACATAACAAGAAAGAGTACCATTGTACAAGTATATGTTCTGTGGTAGGAGAGTTTTAAATCCAGCAGAATCTTAGTCCCATGCAGTGCAGAGCCGCAGGTCCCTGAGCTGAAATTTGAAGATGTCTTTTCCTCATTTTTGCCTTGATTTTCCTCAGTGTCCCTATGAGATCTGAGGCACTGCTAAAGGACTTTCATTTCTTACTTCTATAATGGGAGAGTTTGGACAGAGGGAGAGAAGCATATTCACAATGCAGCAGCAATTAGCAAAACAGATACAGAACGTCAGTCTGTCCTGAGAGCAGATCTGGCTCCGCAGGGTCATTATCTATGAATATGTCAAAAAGGCAGCAGATGTCTTTTGGATCACACATGAGATAGAGCAGCTTGTAATCCCACTTGTGCTTACTTACTTTCTGCTAGCTGACAATCTGCAGTACGCATCCAGTGGACAGATCACCCTCACCAAACGTGACTGAGAGAAGGATGCCTGTGCAATCTAAACTCTTCTACTCCTAAATAAATGCTGCAATGGAGTCCTTGCAGAGTTTCCCAGATACTTCTGCCCTGCAGGGCAGGATGGCTTGTGCTCACTAAATGCGCTGTTATTTCTACGTTGGTTTTGTGCTCTCCTTGTTCTGGTTGTTCTGTCTCTTATTTCCTTGGCAACTCTTCAAAACATGACTGAGACAAAATTATCCCTGTGTTCCATGTTCTTCTTCTCTTGTGATACAAGAGCATGTGATCCCCAAACCAGAAATTCATCCCTAGATGAATGAATCCCAATTCATCCCTAAGAACCCCAGTGGAGCAAGGAGCATTAGCCATGTTTTCTAAGCTGGGAGAAGAGGCGAAATCTCCACAGATTTTAACCCTTATTGTAATCTTTGGTCCTTGCTATCTCCAGTTTTGATGGAAACATCACTAAGCTCATTTAGAGGTCATGGTACTTTACCGTTGCTGTAAATTCAGAAAAACAAAAAATAACACAAGTTTTGCAATCAAAGGAAGTGTCATGTGCTCAAAGGAGCTTTAAAGCAAATTGAGGTTCCAAAGCAAATACTATGAAATAAGTAAGACAAAATATCCAAACAATAGTGACAGGAAAAAAAGTCAAATTAAAGCCAGTTATAAAGAATGGTTTCCAACAGCCAAGCTTATGTGAGATCCTTAGCTACCGTGAGTCATCATCAGAGTTCAGTGGAGGAACACTTGGGATCTGCTCTTTTCATCTTATTTCCTTGCATTTGAGTTCAAAAGAAGTGTATGCAAGTTTGATTATGAGCGCTGTTCTTCATTAGCAGATCCAAAGAAAATTAAGCCAGGCTTCTTAATTGTTGCTCCTCCTGCTGTAAAATTCCATGTGAATATCTGTAAAGATATGAACAGGTCACTCTGAAAGTAATGCCTATTTATTACCATAGAAACTACAACAGCTACAAAGAGTACAATAACACTATTTGATAGAGCAAATTCTTAGCTGCAAAACACTCTTTTTCAGCATAGTCACCACTATTAGCTGTGCATTTTCACCAGCTGTGAACCAGCACCTGCAGGCTGCACATCTAAAAATCTGCGCCAGCAGAGGTGCCCTGCTGTCACTGTCACTACTGCTGAAATGCACCACCCACCACCTCACTGTGCTCACATCCACTGCTTGGTCTCTATAAATGTTCAGCGAGTGTCTCCGTAAATTCACTCAGCAGTGAGTGTCAGTGTGTGCCATTTTTTCTACACAGAGGAATTCAGTGGCACACACACAGCAACAAAATGTAACAGGATATTGGTGGGAAGGTTCAACCTCTACTGCCATACCACCAACACCACCTCTGATGTCATGGGCCAGTGTAGTAAATTAGGAGGCACTACTTTCAGAGCAGCCCTTGTGCATCTGTTGTTTTGGATTTCTGATTTGGATGTCACATCTGCTTTTTCACTGGTGCTTATAAAATATTAATATTCCTGCTGTAGCACTTGAAAGTCTCATTGTATTAGAGAATTTCTGTCCTTCCCTGCAGCAATTACATCCTTTTGCTGCACAGTGACTGTTAGCTGTTATCCCAGTCTTCCTGTTTGTGGATGGGGAAATTTGGGTTCTTTGTAGAATTGTGGCATTTTTCATCTTAGAAAGGATTATTTCCTGCCTCGGGTTGAGTGATAAAGAAAGGGATTTTAGAAAGTAGAGATGGATTCCAGCTAATACAGATCATATTAGTACTATTATAGCCCACATTATATTCAGTAGAAAACCTACAGTACTTGCTCTTTTTCTGAATTGCCTTCATTATATGGCAAATAGTGAACTCCACTTTTTTCCCCTCCAAGCTCAAGGACAATTCACTTTAGAGAACTAGAGCAAAGTGAAAAGTGCCATGTGGCAGTTCAGGGTACAACGTGTCACAGTTTCTGGGGTTCTATAACTAATTTTTCTTCCAGCTGAAGGAGGATGGCCTGGGTAGAACAGGTAGGTGAACGGTCAAACTATAAACCATTATCTATAAGTCATTATTTCTAACATCTTTTAAGGAATATCTATTTTCTTGATGAAGTGCATTTGCAATGGAGAAAAAACTGTTTCTCCCCATTAGTGCCTAAAACACAGAAGCAATGGATATGAAGACAGAGGTCTCACTTCACAAAGCTTCAGTTAAATCTGAGCTGCTTTAACATGCCTGTAGCTCTTCCTTTGTCCCTTGACTGACAGCACATTTCTTTACACTTATTTAAAATCAGATGTGTGATTTCTGCGTTTGCACCAGTATACTAACAACCTTCACTGCTTCCCTCCTTCTCACAGGAAGATAGCAGAGCATTAAAGCAGGGAATAATGAGGTAGATACCAAGGACATAAGAGCCAACCACAAATGAGTTTAAAAAAATTATAAATTATAGATTTTAGTCTCTCAGGAATATTTTCACAATGAGAAAAAACTTGATTTAATGAAGCCAGAAGTTTTAGCAGGAAGTCTATAGCTGTAGTGGCCAAAAGGTATCTCAGTTCCAATGTGTAATTGCCCATCGGTGGAGAAGGAAGAAGGAACATAACACATGATGTATAGGAAACACCCATTTGGCCCTGGCTCCAGTGATTTATTTATTTTTTTACATACTGAATGTTCTACAAAAGATGGAGCTTTTCTTATAGGAAGAGTAAGCATGTTGAGCACCTCCAGCTGAGTCTGAACTCGGAGGCTAAGCTCTGGAGTACAGTATCCTGCAGTCCCAAGGCCAAGCCAGGTTCTGTCATTGGGTGCTGGAGGTGATTAATAGAGCTTATGCTTAACGGTGTCCATATAGCAGTTCCCCAAAGGAACGCACTTGAGGTTAAACATATGTCTGCTTGGTTGGGACCAGACTCTGAAAAAAGTCCTGATATAAAGGCCAGACATGTTTTAGCCTCACTGGCTGCTGTGCATGTCTGTAGATCTAGAGGTTGGGCATTTGCTTTTGTTTTTAAGAATTAAATGCAATAGAATCACTAAGGCCAGGGCTGCACACTGAGACTTAGCTCACCTTTCTCCACTCAGGCTGGCTTCCCAGCCAACACTTCAGAGATGTCCTAATTCTTGTGTCCACTTTCTGTGTCAGTGGACATGATGAGAGGCTGCAAGGTGGGTGCAGGTTCATATTGCTGCCCCACTTTCTGATGTTACACTTCTATCAGTTCTTTCTGGTCTCACTCTTTAAAATACGACACTTGCACACAGCATTGTTACTGCATGATATTTATACATTTCTTACACTCAAATGCTTGTTTAATTGCAAGTATGTAATTACACATTCAGTGATTACAATTGAAAGTGTGAGTCCTATACGTGGAAATCATCTATCTTCCTGTGCATGTGCCATTGCAGCTGGAGTAATGATACACAGAGGTAATGGGAAATTAGCAATCGGGACAGTAAGACCATTATAGGCTTGTCTTTCTGTGTGAAATATCTACACAATTAAAAATACTTTCTTTAAAGCAGTACGGACACGTATACTTATCTGGAGGGTAGGCAGCATCATTGCCATTTAAGGAAACAACAGAGTATTTGGTGTTTAGTTTTGTGGCTTGTGCTGAATATGTTAACATCTGGAGTAGGTTTTCAAATGTCACTTCTGTACACTTGACTGAGATGTGTAGTTTAATGCTCATAAGGCTTCCGGCTTGCTGCAGATTGGATTGCAAAAAGAAAAGACCAGAGAAAATGATACAGTTAGGCACAGACAGCATGAGTTGGAATTTCCCTCCCTCAGGAAATACTGCTTGCGCCAAAGGAGCTACTTGATTACAGCCCTGGTAACAAGAGCAGGGTCTGTATCCCTGGAGTTGATGTGCAGCAGATGAAGTTCTCTAGGAGCAAGTCTGTCTTTATGGAATATGTAGCATGACACTTTGAAATTATCAAAGACATTAGCTTTCTTCAGAGGACATCGATGGTAGCAAAATAATCATTTGTCTTGATAACATCTTATTTGTCTTCACTTTTCTGTGAAATACCCTCTTTACTTTGGTTCCTTTTTAGTGCAGCATGTCGATAATAGCTGACTGAGACAGACCTCCGTTTCTTCACTTTGACCACTAGGCCCCAAGGAATAACCCTTCGTAGAGCTGTTTAGCTTAAGTGGACTGGTTTTTTAATAGAACCATGGAGGTTAGCTATGCTTTCTTCAAAACAAAGTGAACAAACAGAGCACCCCTAAAGGCCAGATTTTGGTCTTTGAAAGAGGATTTTCACTTGATGCAATTTTCCCGTTCCTCCCCTGATGGACCGTGCTCATTTCTTCGCAAGCTGGTGCAGACAGCGGAGGAGTGGCAGGGTCAGCTCTGGTGTCAAGTAGTGGTACCAAGGTGAAGAGATCCCACCAAGTTACACCAGGGCTTCAGAAGGGCTCTTCTACTCATTTAATCTCTGCCACATCCATCCAGGCCATTCCAGACAGCTGTTAGTCGAATTTCTAATATGTGTCTTTGACATTTAACATTTCTTATGTAGGATCCAGGATATCTGCAGCCTCTGGCTTCCTCTCATGCTTTTTCCATGTGGTTTCAATTGTGTTAAACTGTTTGAGAGCACAGAAATTGTCTTTCTGTTTTTTTTTGTTGATGTATATCATGGATCAATTTGATAAATATTTGCAATGTAAAATCTTGCTTCTTCAATGTATTTTGTATTTCACTGTCTTTTACAGCCAACTATTCTGAACAGCTGAAAGCCTTAAGTTGGATGAATAGTTATGTTGTTCATTTGTTTTTTTTTCCCCTCCTGTCTCACATGAATAAACTGTAGTGTTTCTATATTGACTGTTTGGATATCTTCCATCTCCCCAAAGAAGAGAAATGATCTTCCTTTTTCTTGTCTGACTGCTAGCTTGTGTCTTGTTTTCTGACAGCAAATGGGACCTCGAGCAGTCAGCTGTCTACACCCAAATCCAAGCAGTCCCCCATCTCCACACCTACCAGCCCAGGGAGCCTCCGTAAGCACAAGGTATTATGTTTCTTATACCTTACTACATCTGTTTATTCCTTAGTCTGCTTGAATGTGCAAGGCACTTTAAAGAAGTCTTTATTTTCTTGAAACACATCTTCAAGTGAAACAGTGGAGAATTTTTCTTGTTACCTGAAAGAACTGCCACTTTGGCCTATAGCAAGATAAGAACAGTCAGTCATGGAACTGTTCCTCCTGTTGGAGTTATTAATGTGTGCTGAAGATTATCTGTGTGGATCAGAAAAAATAACTTAGGCCTAAATTTGTATCATTTGGAAAAGCTCACAAGTCATGGATAACTTCATTTCAGTGCTCATCTCTTGAAAAGCTATAGGTGTTGGCAAGTCCAGTTCATTAAACAGCAGAGAAATGCAAACGTAACTGAAGCTCCAAGACATCACCTTAATGCTGCTTCTCAGGGATTTTTAAAATGATTTAAGGCAATGTTCTGTTTTGCAGGAAATGTGGTTTTTCTATTCCCAGTGTAGTAATTGTATTCTGATACAGTAAATTTTCCTGGTGACATCCAGAGCATCTAACATATAGCCTGGCATCCTAGTAGAGATGAGTAATTTTGTGGTGTCTCATAGTTTATTCATGTATTGATTTATTTGAACTGTATAGAAGTAGCACAGCTTTTCATGGTTCTGTTATTATTATACTGAATCCACTTTGCCATTTCTGTGGGCTTTCTCATTTCTCTAATAGCTATAGCATTGCTGTTCTCTTCCTTGAACAGTTTTTGCTTGATATAAAAAGTGGAATTTGCATGTAAGTTTGAGTGAAGGTCAGTGGGATTTCTGCTTTAGTAATCAGAATGTACCTCAGCCCAAATATGATACTGAAAGCATTCTCTTGAAATTGTGGAAGACTGGAAGCCTCATTAAACAATTCTAATGATGGTGAGGTTTTGCAGTCAGCTAGCTAGCCACATGTCATCTCCTGTGGACTTGATTGCACAAGTGGAACTGATTTTGCTGGAGGATTATGGTTTATCTCAAAGAGAAGAGTGGTAGCTGGACTGCTGTTGTTAGTTGGTGGAAGAAAGTATAGCACAGTCTCTGTGAAGTATTCCTGAAAGTCCAATGAGCTTTGGATTATAACTCTGGTATGTAAGACTTTGAACCACATCGGAGATGGGACTGAATGGTACTGGGGAAGCCTGGGGTGGAATTTGGCTTCTCAAAAATCAGATATTTAAAATATTTCCAAGATATGAAAATCCTGTAGTCATTCATCTTTGTTTTCATGTCCTTTAACAGAGGTATAGCTAAATCAGATGAAATCAGTGTTTTTCTCAGGACTTCACTCTGGTCTCAGTTGCTCAGTTTAAAGTCTAAGGAAATGCACCAGTGTAGCACAGTGGTTCCAAATGTATTCTTAACTTTTATTTGAGAACAGGATCTGGCCCATAGTCTGCTCTCGAAAGATGCTTGTGTGTGTTTCTATGAAATTAATGCTATAAACTGCATTTGTTGCTTCAGCAGCCAAGGACCTAAAATACCTTCCAAACACTATCTCATGCAGGGCTTTGGAGTTGAGGATTGGTTTTCTGGTGAAGACAAGTAAAACTCACCTTCTGCTATGTTTTATGTATGTTTTCAGCTAGCTGACTTATGACTTTCCCAGTGAAGGCCCTAGAACATTCGTAATAGAAGGTGACTGCTAAAGGCAGCTACAAGCTTCTCCACTAATTCAAGCCAATCAGAAAATGTGAATGTAGCATTTTAGGTTTCCTGATCATTCACGCATTGTTGTTTTCCTCCCAGGAGCAATTTCCCACTTAAAATGAAATCACTTCTCTTTTTTTTTCCCCTCCTCTTCTGTCAAGATGCTTGTGAACTCCCTTTCTGTGTATTTGTGCTTTGCTTCATGTTGCTCAGTTATTCCATGTGGGGGTCAGAGTTCATAAAAGCCCAAAGAAAGCTTTAGTCCTTAAGATGGTTTGTATTCCTAGATCCATGCAGGACTTCAAAGAGGCAAAATAAAATGGTTACTCAGAAAGAGGCCCTGGGAAAGCTTTGTATTCAGTATTTTATCCAAAAAATGAACTAGGCATTATGTTTTTAACTTCTGAACAGCTTTCTGAATGATCAAAAATGGCTTAAAATAAAGTATACATCACGGGAGGTGATTTTCCCAGAGATCTGTCCTAAGGGTAGCTCTCAAGTAAAGGTAATACTCATTAGACGTAAGTTCAGAAAGATCTCTTTAAGGAAAGTTTCTGCTCTTTCATGCATGTTCTGCAATGGATGCACTGATCCAGAAGTGATAAAAAATTTCTTCTCAAACTTGTCACCGAACAGTCATCTTTCTTTTGGTACCAAGGTGCACATTCCTCCACTCTGCAATGGACCTTATTTTAGCCTCAAAGTAACCAGGCAACCATCCAGTAACCAGTGCATGAGAATTCCACCCCGTCCCTATGAAGTGCACAGAACTGGACCCATCCAACTGTCTCCTTTTGCACGACCAAAGGTGAAAACTGATTGTGTGAATTAACATGTTTTTCTTTCTTCCTACAGGACTTGTATCTGCCTCTGTCTTTGGATGACTCTGATTCCCTTGGAGATTCCATGTAAAGCGACATGACGTTAATAGTCCGTACTGCAAGCTATGTTTAAGATACAGTAGAGTACTTCTGCCAAACTAAGCAGATAGGTGACTGGTGCTTTCAAATCAGACAAAGGACACACAGTTATATGTCATTTTTTTTCTGTGATTTATCCTCTCTACCACAAATCAACACCTACCAGTCTATAGAGATAGAGGGATACCATTCTCTTAAGCAGAGTTTTAGGGATGCAAAATGGACATTGCCAGCAATTTTGGGCTGTTATGCCGCTGATCCTGTGCACTTCCCATATTCTTCTATTATTTCTTCTTCTGCAAATACATAATTTTCCTATGACAGCAATGGAAAGCTCCCCCAGAAATGTGTGAATCAATCTGTTGCTGACAAATTCTGACAACTCTTTACCTCCAAACTGCCAACTCTTGCTTGTTCCTCATTTGCAGCCCTGATTTTAGCACTTGCATACTAACTAGTACTGTTTTTGTTGTTACAGGGCAGGAAGGGAAATGACTTATTAGTTCGATGCTTAATATGTCAGCAGAAGCTTGGACAAGATTAGGAATGATAACATGAGATGCTAAGTAAGGTTAGTGCAATAGTGAATTTTCAGATATTCAAATATTGGGAGTTGTTAAATAATTAAGCAAAATGATGTAAGTCAGTTGAGTTGTCTAGAATTGAACAGATTCACATATGGTCCAGAAACACTGCTAGCTGGTAACAAACTTTTCCAACCACCCTATGGTATCTCTCTATCTCTGTTTTTAAAAGTAATGCCTTGTGAACAGCCAACACTGAAAACACTGTGAGAATTTGTTTTCAGGTCTGACATCCTACAGGTCACTTTTTATAGCAAAAAATCAATACACTTTTTATAAAGGAAAACCTTGTATCTGTGTTTTGGAGTAAAGATTCAAGCTCCTTCTTTTTTATAAAAGCTGGTAATTTTGTTTTGTTTAAAAAAACACATTCAGAAAAATGAACAAAAAAAACCCCACCAACTGCAGAACAGTAACAACAACGAATCAGTTTAGAAATCTTGTCATCACTGCCAGAACAGACACTTGTAGGGGAAAAAAAAAGTCAGTTCAAAATATTGAATGTTTTGATAGTTTTTGTAATGTTTAAGATATGTATTTGTTTTTTTACACTTCTGTATTCATAACTATGGCCAGATTCTCTACTTCTATAACAAATGAAACTTTGTGTGTTTGAAAACCCATATTTTAAGAAACTCTTCTATCTGACAAAAACAAACTTATTGTATTTAGAGAAACGTTTTGCTTTTATTAATCAGTAATGACTCCTATGGAATGCAAAGTTCATCTACTCACGCAGGGCTGGTGGTTTTTACTACGCCGAAATTTTGTTATAGGCTAGCTGGCATTGCCTCTCTTTCTCATGGAACAAGCTTTTGATGAAACTGATTATTACGGAACTTTACCTAAAGGAAATCTGTGCAATCAAATATTTCTTTCTTGCTCTATTTGCCTTTGTTTCAACATATACACCTATTCCTTATTCTCTTGCAACCCCTTGTGATAAGAATGAATTATAATGTGATGTTTGATGCTATATGAATGCTGGGTTGTTCAGAAAGCCACTCCATGTTTTGTTTGCTTGCATTGCTGATACGAAACAATCTGTGCAGGCTATGTCTTTAGAGGTTCATGTGATGATACATGTAATGCAACTTTAAGAAGATGCATCTGAGAGAGAACAGAATTGGGAATTACCAAGGGGTCAGAATTATGCACCAATTTTGCACCCTGTAGTCTTAGTGCATGATCTTTTACACAGAGTTTTGTGAAAGAAATCATTTGTGCCCACAAATAACTTCATTTAATTGAGTAATTTGCTGACTATGTGACTGCTAAATGAACATTTCACCTATTGTATATAGAAACCTGGTGTCAGTTCAGAAGGCTAGAGGCTCATGTTGAAGCTGTATAGGGGAAAGTACTGTGGACGAAGCATAGGTGTAGTCAGGAAACCTTCATTCAGTCTTTTGGCACTGATTTAGTGTCTGAAGGGGAGCAGGTCTGCTAGTAACACTGTGCCTCAATAGGTCTACCCATCCCTGTGTGGATAACACTGTTCTACCTCACTGGGGGTTGTGAATCCAAATGTTGTAAAGTGCTTTCAGATCCTCTAACAGAAGGTACTGAACTGTTCCGGGTGCAGATTTTGCTGTGGATGCTAATTTTTGGCTGTTTAATCCACTAGGTGCTACTGTAGAGACTAGTCTTGAGAAAACAGGGCTTTCTTAAGCATCAGGATAGCAAAGGCCATGGTTATGCCAACAATATTGTTAATTAGAACATTTATCTTAGTGAAAGCTCTAGTGAGATAGATATTTGGCTTGCTTTTACCCTCTTCTCTGTTCTGTTGATGTAAATCTGAAGGAGACCAAGGAGACCAGCCATAAAATTAGATCTAGGTTCTCTTGCAATTCAGCCTAGACTCTCACCACTTTTTCACCAGGAATACCTAATTCTGTGATGCCCATAAGCAGACTGAAGTGCTAGAGTTGCTGATGATGTTACAGGAGTCAGAGATATGCTTCCATCCAGTACCCACAAATTCAGTTTGTATAAGACAAAGCAGGATGCCAAAGGTCAAATAAACCTTTGGATGGATGGTGGTGAAGGTTGTTGTTGAGAGGTGATTCCTTTCCTTCCTGCCACAGTAGTGGTTATTTAAATATGATCTTCCTTGTAGAGTATGCTAATAAATCAGTTAGGCCTTCCTCCTGTGCTGTACTTAGTGATATACCTAAAACCTCATCCTGCAAGTACTTCCTTAGGAGTTTTTTTTTGCACTAGGATCATGCTTGGGTGAGGCTGAGCCCAGTAATTTCTTCAGGGCAGTACCAAGGGAACCTGAAAAGGCCTAAAAGAAGAAGAAAAAATCTTCGGTGGGAAGAATAGCCATTCAAACCTGCAAAAGCCACAAAGAAAACAGGGTATGAGGTCCAACTCAAAGTTTTAAAAAGCAGTTTTCTAGGTAGAACTGCTTAGGCAGTAGAAGTCAGTGAGCATTTCAGCTGTAACATATTGTTAAGTCTGCATTAATGCTATTACTGCATGAGGTCTTGTACAGAAATGCATGTGGATGTACTGTACATTCAACACTAGGTATTTTTGGCTTTGTAGGATGCCTAACATAGATTTGATTACAAAGAGAAATAATGCACAGGTATCATTTAAATAGAGGAACAGCCTTGATTCGGCAAAGAAGTATCCTTATATTTTCACACGTGCTTTACTCCTGTTGATTTTTCATGAGATGTAAGTCTGGGTTTGGCCAGAAAGCTTTCCTAAACTAGAATGAATTAGGAATTAGTTTCACTGTGCTGTAATAATTCCAGACCTTATGAGATCCTGGAGCAAGTGACTGCAACTCTGTTATACACTCCAGAGTTTACGTTTTATATATTTTCTACATTTGCAGGCACATAAAAAAGGCACTACAGGATGTGAGGATTTGCCATATTAATTCTGCTGTAAAAACCCTATCTGATTTCCCCCATGAGGCTGCCTTTAGTGTTTTCAGAAACTAATTGAATCATTAACACTATATTGATTTAAAACAATTCAGTATTTAAAAGCAAATTTGAGAGATTCTTAATCTGGTACAGAGCTTTGTTTCTTTGAAATCCACCTTTATTTATTCAGTACCAAGTATACTTTAGCAAATTTGCGTATTAAATTATATAAAAAAACTATTTCCACATATAATCATTAGTAAGAAATTAGAGCAATATCCTTCAGCCATAGAAAGACCAACGTATTTAGTCTTCATACCTTTCCACGGCAGTCTCAACTGTAGAATATCAGGGCAGTGCAGCAAAGTTCTTGAGCCTTGGGAGTTTTGTCACTTGTAAAGCATTTATATTCTGAACCTTTTGAGTTAAATCTCCATCTGATGTCAGATTTGGAATTAGTTCATTTCCACCTACTAGATAGCCAACCAGTACTCTACCCCTTGAAGTAATTTTGAAAGAGTTTGGTAATGAAATTCTACCTTGGTCCACTTTGCATTAGGAGATGGAATTAGCTTTTGTCTTCTGTTGTCTGTGTTTCCCACATCTGCATATTATTTACAGTATTATCAGAATCTGAAAAGCCTATTTTCATAGGCAACAGAATAATAATTCTGCTTAGAAAAGAACTTCCACATCTCTCTTTTTCATTTAGCTAGCATACATATATGCTTGCAAAGAAGCACACATAGTCTAGCTGTTACTTCTCTCATTTCCTTCAACAGTGCTCTTGAAAATAAAATGAAGAGACAGGACTCATAATTTTGGCTAACAGCAAAACAGTGTTACACCCAAGCATTTCTAATAGGAAATACTGGTATAAATTTGTTAGTTCCCACTTACTGATGTGGATACTGATATTTTCTAGGCTGCCTTGTGTTTCCTTTTCCATGTCTTTGCACTGACTGCTGATCTGATTGGAAACACAAAGAAAACCTTTTGAAATTGCTCTGTAATACCAAGCTGAATCCCTAAAATAAAGCACCATTCCAGTGACAGCTATCCCTGGAAGTTCCACCTTCTCTGCAGGGGTATGCTGTGGATTTTGCAGGTATGAGCCTTTTTTATCATAGTAAAAGCATGTGTATTTTGCTATGACCTCGGTGGCACCCCACATCCATTCAAGGCAATTGGAGAGATATCTTTGGCTACACTAAAGTAACAATTGTTTTTAGATAAAGGAGGAAAAGATAGCCAAGCAAAAGAGGTACAAAGTTAGTCGAGAAAGTTCTCCGCAAGCTAAGACAATACACAAAAGAAAAGCTATATAGAGGTGTATTTACCACACAGAAGGTGCTGATCACAACCAAGACAGAACAACACATTTTCTTTAATAGCAATTTAGGCTCAAAATTATTTTTCTGGTTACTGACAGAAGCAAATTAGAATGGTATTTGGGACTGGTGATGTTGCTTGTAGAAGCAAATGGATGGCACAGAATAAATATCTTTTTCTGCTAAGGTAGATAAAGTACAATGCAGCTCAGCCAACAGGATGAGCATGTTATACAAGATTCTAGGGGAGATCCAGCTGAATCATCACCACTTTGGTTTATTGAGGCAAAGCAGGTTAAGTCTTTAAGTGCCTTCCAACATGCGTTGGGCTTCAGTAGCAGGACTACACGTATCCAACAAGGCCTAGATTAAATGGCCTTGACAAAAGTGGGCAGGACAGATTAGCTCTTGAGCCTCTTGAGATGATCAGCCCATCTTGCTTTTATGCAGTCAGCTCTAGAAAGTGACTGTCTCCAGGATCACAGACATCTTCTGGTTGATGCCTTTGTCCCATTCCTATGAACCTGAGCAGGCCTCTCTGCAGTATCTCAAGAAATGTTAAACTGAGTTC